TCGGTCCACTGACAACCAACAAGGGATTTGTCTTTACATTAGAGAGATTTCGTCTTCCTTCCTGTTGTGTCTCTGAGATTAGAGGTTTTGGCTTTAGGTCTAGGTTCTGATCATTTTAGAAGTTACTGGTATGTTAATGTTGTTCTTCAACCAACTTAGTTCAATTACTTCTATATTTGATGCCCAAAATACTGTATGCCTCTAAAATGTTTACTATACTGTATGCATATCTGAAGTGAAACAAGGGTTCACGTTCATGGGCTCAGATTTGGGGCTCTTAAGAAGAAAGGTATGGTGGTATCTGTAGGGACTTAGCACTGACTCAGAATGGTGCTGAACTAGGGAACACTTAAAGGTTCACATTTCCTAGAGGGTTCCTCATAATCATACTTCCTTGTACATTCTTAGGGTAATATATTGATGGATGCTGATGCAGGTAAATGGGGATCTGTATTGAGAGAATATGGAGCCTGCCAATGGTAAACCACTTCTGAAACCGCTGGTTACGTCTAGCCAAAATACATTGGGAGTCACTGACCCATAGCAAGCATCCTTGTTCGGGGGCAGTTAATCAGTTTATGGAAGCCTTTGAACCAGCATAACAGCCAGGAAACTAGCATTTTTGAACGCAATGGCAGCTTAATTATTTTCTCAGCAAAGTTGAAAGCGGTATTAAACCCAAAACCCAAAATGTAATGTATTGCAACTTACCAGTCATTGGTCTGAGGAAGGGGCAAGTCCCTGAAACATCACGTTGACCGGCTTCTCTCCTTTGGTTTGACATGGTTTGAGTGTTCCCCTAGGTTTCCAGTTTGCCCCTCACCAGCCCTTGTTCAGGCAGCCTCTTGCCAGGTGTATGACATAACCAGATCTGGGACACGTGACTTCCGGCAGACGCGGCATCTCCGTGATCCCAGTGGATGCCATCTACACATCCTTCCCATTGTCCTGAGGCTCCGGGGTTGAGCAACCTACTTTAGAGTTCTGGATCATGTGTCATCCTCCAGCTTCAAGGAATATGTCTTTCTCCTCCCCACTGGCTTGGTGATGTATGAATCCAGGCACTCCTACATGTCAGAAAAGAACAAAACAGGGCGCACTCTCCTCGTGCATTACCGTAATATTAAGAAATGTATTCTAAAAATACAAATTCATACTCACAAACCAAAAAGGTCATAAAAACAGAGATAGGGAGTCAAAGATGCCAGTCAAGGGCAGCAGAGGTCCTTTGGTAGAAGTGATAACATGTTTCAGGAGTAGAACCTTCCTCAGATATTCTTCTGTTGCTCTGAGGAAGGGAGTTCTACTCCCGAAACGCGTTAGCACTTTTACCCGAGGAGCTCTGTTGCCTTTGACCTGCATTTTTTTGACTCCTAATCTCTGTTTTTATGACCTTTTTGGTTTGTGAGTATGAATTTGTATTTTTTATAATAACTTTCTTAATGCACGAGGAGAGTGCGCCCTGTTTTGTTCTTTTTTGCTAGTATCAAGATTCCCCGATCTATCAAGGGCGGCATCTCAGCGAGTGCTAGATTCCATATTTTCAGTGCAGCAAGAAGATTTCTGTTGGAGTACTCCTACATTTCATGCTTTTTTAACCCAACATTAAAGTGAATTTCGATTTCTAACTATTCCTGGGCTTGTGACTCTATTGACTTTCTTAGGGTTGGGAGCACTCTTTTATTTGTTGTTTTTTGCAATTGTAGATGTAGTGGCTGCATTCATTTTCCTAGGGCTTTTCCCCCATCCATTTTCATCTGGGGATTTGGCCAGTAACGCATTTTCTGTATTAGAGTGCCTCCACTCTGGATGAAGGAGCACAGGGGACACAGCAGACAGCGCTATTGTCAGTCCAAGGGGAGTGTTAGATGTACTAGCAGATTTGGATACACTAACAAATTGAAATTGAACTCTAGCTACCACTTTATAAGCAGTTACAGCAAACTGGGATAAAGGTTTTCCAGAAATAAACACTGATCATTGTAAGCACCCCTGTCAGTGTTAGTCCTGGGACGTTTTTACAGCGGCTGTTTTTAGCTTTTGACGGGTTTTTGGCTTTTTTTTTTTTTTTTTTGGCTTTTGACGGGTTTTTTTCTTCTACATCCAGTAAACCCCCCCCCAGCATGTTATCCTATGTGTCCATGCACACATAGACTGTAATCAACATTTTTTGGCTGGGAAAACCCCCCAGAATTAGTGGGTTTCTAGAGGAGTTTTCCAGCTGAAAAACGCAGCAAAACACGGTAAATCGTGGCAAACCAGCGTTTTTGGGGTAAAAAAAAAAAACCTGTAAAAAATGCGGCTAAATGCGAATACAAAAATGTTGAAAAACACGTTTTTAACGTGACTTTATACAGCTAACGTTGCCAGCGTTATTAAAACACCCCGTGTGCATGGAGCCTTAAATGATCTGTCTCACCTCTCTGCTAGAGAGCTTGTTCTGTTGAAATACAACAGACTGACTGGCTAGATCACCAGGTGAAAATAAAAGAAAGAAGGCCTAAAAAAAAAGAAAACTAATGCAGTCCTCGCACCTAAGGATTGGTAAGCTGCAATATAATAAACGTTTGCTTTTGGGTTAAAACTGCTTTCATTTTGAGTGAGGAACCTGAAGAGGATTGACTCCACACATTTAATGTGTCCACAAACCGTTAACTGACGTTCCTCCTTCCACCCTGGCTGCCCGTGTATTGCAGGCTGTACTCTGTCACCTCATTGTTACATTGTACATATCAAATGACTCAATCTACGCAACGCATTAGAAGACGAAAATTGCAATCGTTGGCCCTCTAGAGTGTTACCCTGCTCTATATTTGTCTTTTCATCAAGAACTGTTTATTGTACGTAGCAAGATGCAAACTGCAGCATTTCATTGAAGTGAACCTGCCACCGACAGCCGAGGCCGATGCCCACTCCGACGGGGTGAGCTGATATACCTGAGAACGCAGCCAATTGGGTTACTAGGTTCCGTTGACCTTGCCATGGCATGAGCAAAACGCAGCATTCTCACGGTCTCGGGCCACCTTCCAGTATGGCAGCCTCCACGTTCTTGGTGTGACCAGGCCACTTTAAGAAGGAGCTGTTTGCATTAACAAGAAAAGCCGCAGATAAAAGAATCGGGTTTGTTTGATGTTAGCTAGCTGAGGGAATTCGCTTCCATCTTTATGTATATTTTATGATGTTGATTTATTATTTATTGTTCTTGAATGATAGATGCACACATCAGTTGTCTTGTCTCTAGTACAGTTAAGGCACTACTTTTTGTTGTAATGTGAAGGTGGATTATGGATAGTGTGTAGTTGAAATGCAAGCAGCACCAACCAATAAAACAGTTGTTTACATCCAAATGGAGGAATTATATACCGAGATCAGTATGGCTGACAGACCAGAAAGCTTGGGCTGACTCATTAGTTTGGCATTCTCAACACCAAAATCTTGGGTAGCTCCAAGCTTTTTAAAGGGGAACTACACTACCAAAAACTAGAAATGCTATTGAATTCGTTTTTAATATTCAAAGCAAACTCACTTATCCATCCATGTCTCCATGCTTTATTTTACGAAGAAAACACCCCTGTAGCATTTCTAGCCACGGCCATCTTGAGTAAGGGTGGATGATTCACTTGGCATCACTTTGAAAAAAGACCCCCGTAGCATTTCTAGACATGGCCATCTTTAGTTAGGGTGGATGATTCACTTGGCATCACTTTGAAAAACACCCCTGTAGCATTTCTAGCCACGGCCATCTTGAGTAAGGGCGGATGATTCACTTAGCATCACTTTGAAAAAAGACCCCCATAGCATTTCTAGCCGCGGCCATCTTGAGTAAGGGCGGATGATTCACTTAGCATCGCTTTGAAAAAGACCCCCCGTAGCATTTCTAGCCATGGCCATCTTGAGTAAGGGTGGATGATTCACTTAGCATCACTTTGAGAAAGACCCCGTAGCATTTTTAGCCATGGCCATCTTTAGTTAGGGTGGATGATTCACTTGGCATCACTTTGAAAAAACACCCCTGTAGCATTTCTAGCCACGGCCATCTTGAGTAAGGGCGGATGATTCACTTAGCATCACTTTGAAAAAAGACCCCCATAGCATTTCTAGCCGCGGCCATCTTGAGTAAGGGCGGATGATTCACTTAGCATCGCTTTGAAAAAGACCCCCCGTAGCATTTCTAGCCATGGCCATCTTGAGTAAGGGTGGATGATTCACTTAGCATCACTTTGAGAAAGACCCCCGTAGCATTTTTAGCCATGGCCATCTTGAGTAAGGGCGGGTGATTCACTTAGCATCACTTTGAGAAAGACCCCCGTAGCATTTCTAGCCATGTCCATCTTGAGTAAGGGCGGATGATTCACTTGGCATCACTTTGAAAAACACCCCTGTAGCATTCCTAGCCATGGCCATCTTGAGTAAGGGTGGATGATTCACTTAGCATCACTTTGACAAAGACCCCCGTAGCATTTATAGCCATGGCCATCTTGAGTAAGGGTGGATGATTCACTTAGCATCACATTGACAAAGACCCCCGTAGCTTTTTTCTAGCCACGGCCATCTTGAGTAAGGGCGGAGGATTCAGTGGCAGGCCTAGTCTGGCCGCATTAGGGCATCTGAGGATGGAAAAGGCCTTTCATCTGCAGAAGATGGTCTGAGGTCTCCTGTATGAGTGATTGTTATCAGTTGTATATTCTTGCATTGTAACTACGAGGCTTCTCAGGGACTGGAATGACGATGTTAATAGTGGTCCAGAACAAGGACACAATGCAGTACCAGAACCTGACACATGGATAGCCCCCCCCCCCCGTCTGGAAGAACCAGCTGTAAAGAGCACAGAGCTGAATTTATTTGTTGGTGCTGCTTAACTCTGGTGTGCTTGATTCTGGGGATGGTGATATGAAGGAGTATATATTGTATGTCGTGTTGTTCGGTTACATCTGTCTATCATATGATGGATGTGCTCAGGATCTCATGTCCTCTCCTTCTCTATTCTCCCCTTCTCCTAGGCGCTCTCTGGTTATCGAGAAGTTTGAAGCTCTGGATATCGAGAAGGCAGAACACATGGAGACCAATTGTTCCACAGCTCCGATCAGTGAGGCCCGACAGGGACGCAGCGAAAAGCGCACCTTTCCCAGGAAAAGGGTAATGCTAGATTGGTTTTTAGTTGTTGGTTGTGAAGGGAATACTGCAGAAATACTGCCACAGGTGCACAAAATCACGGATATACAGCGAGTCCCAGCCGATGATTACTCGCCGGAGCCCGGTGATTGCCGAGCATCTCCGACGGGGAGGAGAACTGTTTGTAAACAACAGTTCTCCTCCCTGACAGCTTGTGCACGCTGCTTTGGATGGCTGTGCGCACTATTTACTAATTTTATTTTTGGGACTATTATTTTATTTATTCACAGAGTCTTTTTGTGTGTATTGCTTATATTAAATATATTCGCACTTTAGAAGTCATTTTTTTTACCACTTTAGTTGTAGTATACAACACATAAAAGATTCATTTGTTTTGCTTGTCATGTTGATCGAATTTATGCATCTGATTATAATTACCGTATTTGCCGGCGTATAAGACGACTGGGCGTATAAGACGACCCCCCTACTTTTCCTGCTAAAATGTAGTGTTTGGGCTATACTCGCCGTATAAGACTACCCCTCTTCCAATGCACACCAGTGGGAGGAATAGTGCCACGTCATTGGTATCAGTGGGAGGAGGAATAGTGCCCCATCATTGGTATCAGTGGGAGGAATAGTGCCCCATCATTGATGTCAGTGGGAGGAATAGTGCCCATCATTGATGTCAGTGGGAGGAATAGTGCCCCATCATTGGTATTAGTGGGAGGAATAGTGCCCCATCATTGGCATTAGTGGCAGGAATAGTGCCCCATCATTGGCATTAGTGGCAGGAATAGTGCTCCATCATTGGTGTCAGTGGGAGGACAGTGCCCCATCATTGGTGTCAGTGGGAGGAATAGTGTCCCATCATTGGTATCAGTGGCAGGAATAGTGCCCCATCATTGGTATCAGTGGGAGGAATAGTGCCCCATCATTGGTATCAGTGGCAGGAATAGTGCCCCATCATTGGTATCAGTGGGAGGAATAGTGCCCCATCATTGGTATCAGTGGGAGGAATAGTGCCCCATCATTGGGAGGAATAGTGCCCCATCATTGGTATCAGTGGGAGGAATAGTGCCCCATCATTGGTATCAGTGGGAGGAATAGTGCCCCATCATTGGTATCAGTGGGAGGAATAGTGCCCCATCATTGGTATCAGTGGGGGGAATAGGTGCCCCATCATTGGTATCAGTGGCAGGAATAGTGTCCCATCATTGGTGTCAGTGGGAGGAATAGTGCCCCATCATTGGTATCTGTGGGAGGAATGGTGTCCCATCATTGGTGTCAGTGAGGGGTGGAATAGTGCCCCATCATTGGTGTCAGTGGGGGGTGGAATAGTGCCCCATCGTTGGTGTCAGTGGGGGGGGGGAATAGTGCCCCATCATTGGTGTCAGTGGGGGGGGAGGAATAGTGCCCCATCGTTGGTGTCAGTGGGAGAATAGTGCCCCATCATTGGTTCAGTATAGGTGCCCCATCATTGGTATCAGTGGCAGGAATGGTGCCCCCATCATTGGTATCAGTGGCAGGAATAGTGCCCCATCATTGATGTCAGTGGGAGGAATGGTGTCCCATCATTGGTGTCAGTGAGGGGTGGAATAGTGCCCCATCATTGGTGTCAGTGGGGGGTGGAATAGTGCCCCATCGTTGGTGTCAGTGGGGGGGGGGAATAGTGCCCCATCAATTGGTGTCAGTGGGGGGGAGGAATAGTGCCCCATCGTTGGTGTCAGTGGGAGGAATAGTGCCCCATCATTGGTATCAGTGACACCAATGATGGGGCACTATTCCTCCCACTGAGACTTGCTGACCCTGTTCTCGTATGGTGCTGCTGCAGCCAGCATATGTGGTTGCAAGCACCTCTACACAGAACACTTACCTGCTGCTCCGGCACTCAATTTTCGCGGGGGCCGCTCGGCTCCGCCCCCTCGCCGGTGATTGGCCGCCTGTGTGCCTTTCCTGAGCTACAGTTCTGGCGGCCAATCACCGGTGAGGAGGTGGAGCCGAGCAGCCGCACGAACATCCAGTGGCCGAACTGAAGGAGACGCCGCGCTTCCTGGACCGGATCGTCGTGGGACTGGATCCAGGTAAGAGACATCAGCCCCTGCAAACCCCTGTACTTAATGCCGCAGCCCCCCTAAACATGTGTACCGGCGTATAAGACGACCCCCGACTTTTGAGAAGATTTTCAAGGGTCAAAAAGTCGTCTTATACGCCGGCAAATACGGTATTTGAAATTTGATATTTAGCACAATTAGTTTATTATGCGATTACTATTTCATTTACTTTGGAGCGCGGTATTTGTTTGAATTTTATTTTTGATTCACATTAATTATGCACCAAGTAAGCAATAATTGGTATTATTTAAATCAGAGTGTATGTTGGTACACATTATTGTATAATTAACACAGATTTTGGAGCGCGACATTTATTGGCTTTCTTTTCTTTTCTGTTTATGCTCATTGAATGAGGATGTGACTGATTTCAGCAAACCTTATTATTTACCCTACAAAACAAATGGCTCACAAGTAATAAACGCAGAGCTAATTGGCTGCACTATAGCTATCCCCTATGCAGTGTGGAAGACATCTGTCTTGGACCAAGTTTTTGGACTCTTGGCCATCACACTTGTGACCAGGGGCGGACTGACCATTTGGAAACTGGGGCACTGCCCGAGGGCCTGGGGTCAGTAGGGGGCCCCATGAGATGCCCCTGGTATCTTTTTCATAGGCCTTTTTGAGTTTGGCAAGGGCACAGGGGCCCCATGATCCCCTATTGCCCGGGGGCCCCATGAGTTGTCAGTCCGCCCCTGCTTGTGAGCATCCTATTCCCAAACCATAGGCATGAATATGGAGGGAGTCTGCTCCCCTTCCTTTTGGGACCATACCAGCCTTCATTCTTCAACAAAGTTTTGCAGACAAACTCTTCTACCAGCTTTCTGTACCCGACCTCACAAATGCTGTCCAGTTCACACGACATGTGTTTCGGTTGCTTATTTTCTGCATCCAAAACGCACAGAAAGTAGGTTATATGGCTGTCGTGTCATCGTTCACATCAGCGCTTGCAGTTTCAGGTTCCAGTTGCAGAAAAAAATGTTAACATGAGTTTTTCAGCGTTTTTGTATTTGCGTTTTGCCGCGTTTTGTGTTGTTTAGAGATTTGTTTACCAAAAATAAATTTATTTTTTTTTAGTCAAACATCCAAAAACGTTGGTTTGCCGCGTTTTTCCCGCGTTAGAGCGTTTTTAGAGCTTAAAAAACTCCTTTAGACCCACTAGTCCTGGGCTTTTTTTCCAGCCAAAAAACATCCCAGCCAGAAAACGTTGATTCCAGTCTGTGTGTGCATGAACACATAGGATAACATGCTGGGGGGTTTACTGGCTGTAGAAAAAAACGTCAAAAGCGGCACAGCGGCTTAGTGGTTAGCACGTCTGCCTTGCAGTAAATGGGTCATGGGTTCAATTCCCAACCATGGCACCTCCTACAGGGAGTTTGCATGTTCTCCTGTGCTTGCGTGGGTTTCCTCTGGTTACTCCGGTTTCCTCCTGCATTCCAAAGACATGCTGGTAGGTTAATTAGCTCCTGTCTAAAAAATGGCCCTAGTATGTGTATGTATGAATGTGAGTTAGGGACCTTAGATCGTACGCCCCTTGAGGGTTAGGGACCTTAGATCGTACGCCCCTTGAGGGTTAGGGACCTTAGATTGTACGCCCCTTGAGGGTTAGGGACCTTAGATTGTACGCCCTTGAGGGTTAGGGACCTTAGATTGTACGCCCCTTGAGGGTTAGGGACCTTAGATTGTACGCCCCTTGAGGGTTAGGGACTGATGTGAATGTACAATATATATATGTAAAGTGCTGCGTAAATTGACAGCGCTATATAAGTACCTGAAATAAATAAATAAAAACAGCCGCTGTAAAAATGTCCAGTGTGCATGAGGACTCAGTTTTAGTAAATAACCCCCAGTATGTGTAACCATGGTAAGTCAGTGTGTGCATAAATTGTTGAAGAATTTGTCACTCTCCTGCTGGAGCCAAGAGAAAGCATGTCCTTTGTCTCCCCTCCCCCAGTCATCACTCACTCAAGACTATTCAGCATAACTTTCTGCCAAGTCACAGGGTGAGAGACTGCAGCAGGGGGCTGATCTGTGTGAAACAACCTGTGAACACTCAAGATTTTACAATGCAGGCACCTGGAATAACATGCCTGCTTCATCCCTGTGCCAGCATCTTGGTGCAGGATATAGGTGCTGACCTTGCATGGTGGAATGTGATGTAGGTATCATCTGCAGAGTACTGCGCTGCATGCACTCATCATGAAATAATACATCTGAGGCTAGTTTTTACTTTCAAGCTTCGTTTTACAAGGGTACTGAGATCCCAGACGCACAAGAATCTGTTTTATAGCTGCAGGCCTGTATTTGCACTCTACATAACACAACTTTTATCTCTGTATCTTTGTAAACAGGATGAGACCGGGTTGTCCTCCATTCCAGATGTTTCTGCCTCTCATATGTCACCATATCGAAGAGCAAAATCCCTGGATCGCAGGTCTACAGAGTCCTCCATGACGGTGAGGCAAAAAGTGCCGACGCTGCAGCTTGCAGCCTTTTGACTCTGACGGCAGAAATGGTTTTAATCCAATAAAATGAAAGCCTAATCCTTTCTAAGGTTGTTACGTTGCTGAAGCATTGCGGGAAAAAGTGTATGTCAGGGCAAATGGGAGAGAAAAAAAAATATTCATGACATCTGTACAGTACTTGCTCATTTCTCCATGTTTTATACCTTTTTTTTTTTTAAATGCTGTAAGTACAGAAAAATACCCATTGATCTGCCAGAAATCCGACCAGCTCCTAATTTCCTGTTTGGTCTGACAAACGTGGTGCCTTTGCTGCACTGCAATCCCAAGAAGTGTTTTCCAGGGATCGCCTAAAAAGTGGACAGAG